AACTTTCCCGGCAGGTAACTCCCGCCGCCCTGACACCGCCGCCGGCCTCCACGCGCCTCGGGCAGGGCCAGCTGCTGCGGTGCAGTTGGGAACAGGGGTCCCGGGAGGAGGAGAGGGTGATGGGGAGAGTGGAAAGGCATGTGGGAAAGTTTCTGGCGCCTCCCCGCCCCCCTTCGCTGGGCACACCCGGGAGCTTTCCGGGGACAGGCACGGACATGTTGGGAGCCCCGGGCCTTGGTCCTGGCGTCTCTGGAGAGTCGGCGCTTTCCCTTCGCCTCCCCTCCACGCCGGACCGAGTGGGCCCCCGGCGGAGCTGATGTTCCGGGGCACCGGGAACGCGCGGCGGCACTCTCAAGTTTCGGGACCACCCCCACCCGGCGCGCCTCCGCGCCCCCTTTCCCGCCTCCTCGGTAGCCCTCGGGCTTGGCAAGGGCCTGGGCTGCGCCTGGTACCTGAGGCGGGGGAGGCGGGGGAGAGGCGCGCCTGGCACCGCAGGGTCCAGGGCGCCCCCGGAGTGTAGATGAGTGCGGGTCGCGAAGTTGGGTGAACTTAAGCCCCCCGGGCTGAAAGTATTGCTTCGCTTCCAAGAACTGCGATTAATATATCCAAGTTCTTTTTTTGGTGGGGGGTGAGCTAGGATTGGACATTGAGGGAGTAGAGAATTATATCAAGATTACATTTCCCCCAATTCTTGGAGAGTGAAGAGTGCTCACTTCTTCTGGGGGACTTATGTCAGGGCGCACGTTCTTCCTGGGGGACTTTGGGGTGCGGGCGCGCAGCGCTGTGGGTGTGAAGGGCTCCCGGCTTTGGCGCGGCAGCTTTCCGGAACGGCTGGTGAGGAAGGAAGCCCTAAGGCATTGTGTGCGGTGTTTGCAGACAGAAATGTCTTTGGACCAGCGTTCCCAAAACTTACTTCACTTACTGTGTAAGGCTCATAGAGGAAATGCGGCGGTGGCCAGGTAGAAATACGGCGCTGCGGCCAGGGGTTCGGAGGACGACGGGCTCGGCGACAGTCTTCACCTCCCAACTCCCCCCAGCCCGCTGTTGGCAGACCCAGATCCCCGTGCCATGGGTGCTGGGGCTCGTATCGGTAGCGCTGTTCCCCGCTGGAGTCATCTCTGGAAGGTTAGGAGGACACCTTCATCTTGAACTTGACCCTGGGAGCATCGTCGCCTGGGCATTACTAGGTAAAAAAAAAAAAAACAAAACCAGCTGAATTTTCCCATGAGATGGGCCTGGGACTCTGGCACGGAAAGGAAGTGCCTAGTTTAGAATCTTTGAGGAATGGGCTTAGGGCTGCCGAGATCGTTAACTCGAAACGTCAGCCCATCAGACTGCAGAAGTTAAAGTGGAGGGGGTGGGGATGGGAGAGGAAAGGAGAAATCTGGTTAATTTGTACAAAAAGTTGGTATTTCTCTGTGGTGGAAATGAAGAGAGTCTGCATCTTTGCTTTCACCAGATCTGCTAGTCTCTTTCTCTCTCTCCTCTTTTTTCCCCTTCCTCGGTCATCTTTATTCCTGCCAGGCTGGCATTCTTGGCATGGGGGAGGGGAAAGAGAAGAAAGCAGTTGGGAAGCTTCTCTGGCCAGCTTGGAGGTATTTAAGATCTGCTGCTAGGAAGATTCCAGGATTTTAACAGCTGCTTCTTGATTGCAGGGAATGAAAGAATTTACGAGCAATCGAGAGATGTTCATTATAGTGGTCTGACTGTTTACTCATCTCAGCTACTTAAAGTTCTCACAAGGGGCCCTCCCTAGAGTATACCAGTTTTTGCAAAATTTGTGTCAGCCAGAATGCTTGGTGGGTGTCAGTCAGAATGCATCGTAAATATATCCTGGTGGTATTAAGATGAAAAGTATGCGGGAGTAAAGGAAATATGATATCTGACATCCTTCAGGACTTCCTCTTAGGGTTACTCCTGTTACCTGCCAAGTGAATTCAGTCCAGGCTTCCGGACTGTTGTGATTTGACAATAAGAGATGGGAAATAGTGTCATCGATTTTGGCGGAGGCAGGAAAGTCCAGGAATAAATTTAAGGTCACTTTTTATGACCCTGTCTTTCAGCTGTGATGCCACAGACTTAACTTTTGCTAGGACTTGGAAGCAATGGTTTTCCTGCTTTTTTGGTTTAACCACCAGAATGTCTGAATTATCATAATTTGTGTCCATCATGGAACTAAAACACAACTGATTCATAGTCAGCCTTTTTCTGCTTCCCATAACCGCCTGTGCAAAAAAGAACATTTTGTCTTTTTAACCACACACAAGTTTGTTATTTGGTGCCATAGTGAGTTTTTGTTAGTGGGTGATTGAGGGCACAAATTTAAAGACAATGGAATTTTCTCAATTACATAGTTCATTTTTAGGCAGCATCCCCCTCTGAGTTGCTGATTAATTCTTTATCTCCCAGGGAACATTAAAATCAGTATCCATGGGCTGGTAGAACTGTAATCCATATGATAATGATGCCTGCCAGACGTTAATGTTATGTCCATATTTCCGCTAGATATTTCTAACTCAATTGTAAAGGTTTTTTGTCTGCGTTGGGTTGCAAGTAGTCTGTGAGTCTCATAGTCAGAGAGTTGGCTTTATTTTTTGTCTTTCTGATGAAAAGTTTAGTTTAACTTGTAAGTTACAGGAGCGAAGTTAACAAAAGCAAAATAAAACAGATGAGGTATATATATTGCTGGGGAAGGATTTGTTTTAGTCCCTAGGATAGCTTTGTTTTAAACCATCTTTTAAATGCATGTTTCAGTGGTGGAAAAACTAGAACCTCCTCCCAGCCCCTCAACACTTTACAAGTATTTTCTGTATTCTAGGCTTTTAAGCCTTTCTGGATCTTAGTTTTCTCATCATTATCATCCCTAAAATGGGATTACCTTTCAACTCGTAAGTTCTGTGACTGTAATAGTTTGAGAAGTGTAGGCATTGTGGAGCCAGTGCTGTAATATTAGAACTCTACTTTGGGATTTATGAAGGGCTTTACTTACGTATTTTAACTTTAAATTCTCAGTTAAGTAAACCAAGGCTGGGCAAGTTAGATCCATATGCTTGATATCATCTGTAAATGGTGGAGTTGAACTTGAACCTAGGTCTTCTGATTCTCCCTGTTCCCACCCCCATCTGTCTATTCATGGAGTCACCTGTGAATTGGCTAAAACTTGACAAACAGACTAATATTAATATGTGGCATTTTCTCACAGTATTTCATTTATGGATTATTCTGGTTTTAGAACCCCAGGGTTAACATCTATGCTTTGATGTCAGAGATTAAAAGCAGTTCAGTAATAATGGTAATAAAACTTTCTCCCCAAGAGAGTTTCAGAAATTCACATACCTCAGACTAATCATTTGTTTATTTTCAACTTCTTTTTTATTAAGTAGGTGTCAAGGTCTAGTGTGATTTATAATCCAGACTAGTAAACCCAGACAGCATTCTTAAGGAAGTCACTTCTCAAATCTGTACATCTTTTTAAAAATAAGTAATGAACATATCATTTGCCTTTCATCTCGGTATCTTTCAGCTCAATTACAAAGCCTGGATAAATGTCCCATTTTTGGTGTGATTGTTCTTGGGCTCTTTCTACTGATGTCTGGGTAGGTCTGATTTTGTAGCACTTTCTGTGCTAAATAAATTCTTCCCTTATGCTATTGGTTCAATGGTAAAGAAGTAGTAGGCTGCAGGTGACCCATTTTCACTGTGACTCTGAATGTTTGTACTGTGTCCTGCTTGCCTATTTAAGAGCACTGAGTGCAACTTGACACTCATCTGGAAGCTGGTATGGATTTTCTTTAAAAGGTTCTAAAATAAAATTATGTGCTAAGCTATAGGCTCTTTTATGTCTGAGCAGCCTGTCCATCTTCAGCTTTTTAAACTTATTCTCAGAAGAATGTCTTTTCAAAATACTAAGCAATGGGGTTTAAACCTCAGGAGGAGGATGTATCCATGAGTGCCAACTGGCTAAGTGTGAAAAGGCTACCATTTCCAGGTGTGTGCGGGGAGAGAGCATTATGAACCAGTATTTGCTAGTGAAGATGGAAGACTTTGTTATCAGTTACCAGGTGGGGACAAGAGCAGCAAAGCAGAAGAATGGCTTCTGGTCTTTTTATTATCAGGAGAATGGATTTTGAAGGATGGGGAGGAATTTTGATAAAGTAGCCTATCGGGAAACACCTTACGCAGTAGAAGGGGTTCCAGTTTGGTTTAGCTATGTTACTGATGAGGGTTGCCCTTCTAGGCTAGATGGTGTCTTTAGGGGCTCCTACAGGAGTGTGTGATCAAGGAGACTCTTCTGGAAAGAAGAGGCCCTAAGGTTGGAATGTCGAGGACAAGAAAAGTGCTGCAGAGGGATGGCATAGGCCCTGGATTTTAGTAGATTTTGCCACTACCATGAGGGAATGTGTTAGTGAAAATCTTCCAGCTGCCAATGTATATAGATGTGAACCCAGGATGTTCAGCCATACCGCCCAGAGCCATGGTGACTCATCACTTGCCACCTTCCCTGCTTCCCCCAGAACAGAGGGTTACTATCTCTGTGAGCTGGGGTCGGAGTTCGGGAGGTCTCTGAGAAACACTTGGCTGTGACCCTTTCATGCATATATTCTTATGCAAAAAAGAGATCTTACATTACACGTGCTTTTGAAGAAATGTCAAAAAGATTTGGCCTCCAATGTGCATAGAATGCATCTGCACAGCTTAGAGTACAGTATACATGTATGTGATGTGCTTTTCCCCCTGTCCTATCAGTATATTCTTATTTGGGAGTATTTTAATGGCTGTTTAGGGAATCTATTACATGTTGCTGTAATGTATTTAACCAGCCCATTTTGACATTTAGGTGCTTTGGAAAGAAATATCTTTTAGGATATCAGAGCCCTTTGGCTCAGATGTGATTTACTCATCATTAAATCATAGGGCCCAATACATAGTGGGTACCTGACTGCTGGTAGCTTCAAAACCTCACTTCACCAAGAAACTGACTCTGTACTTAGTTCCAATTTGGGAAAACCCAGGTTGGCCTAAGGCCAGCCAAAGGAGAGTTATGGTTGGCAGTTCCCATTAGACCCACAAGGTGGGACTGAGGGGAGACCAAGTATCCTACAAAGAAGGGGGCTATTGTTAATGGAAAAGGGAGGGAGCTAGGTAAACAAAAAGAGCTAGCTGTCTAATACAGGATATGTTTCCAAAAGTGGTGTTGCTGGTCATAAAAACATAGCAATATGCTAGAGATTATGAACATTTTTAATGCTCCTGTGATGTATATCATATCATCTTGAGAGTAGTAGACTTTTCCACATTCTTTGGGGATTTGAATTACTGCGTGCACAGGCACTTGTGTAACAGGGTATTGAATTACTGCGAAAAACTTTGGAGTTGGTCATTATTCTCACGTAACCCATTATACTCCCCCCTCTCTGCCATGCTTTATTCTAAATTACTTGGGATTAGTAACATCAATTATTAATGTTTATTGAGTGCTTGCTGACTCTGAACTAGAGACTGAATTTAAAAAATTCTGTGGAAATGAAACAGCATTGTTCTTTCTTCACACTTTGTCCTACATACATAGAGTGCTGTGGCAGGGATAGTCTCTTGCCCATACCACAGCATTCCCCATCCTAGTCCTCCCTGCCTTCTTGTGGCTTTAACCAACAACCATTTATTTGCTAGGAATTCAGAAATTGGAGCTGGGTTCAGCTGGGTGGTTTTTCTGCCGGGGTATAGGCTCACTCATGCTCTGGTGGTTACGTGATTCATTGCAGGGGCCACTGCTGTAATAATTTACCACATTACTTGATAACATAATCCTGCTTTTGATTAGTTTTCCATTGGCCATGTGCTTCAGGGTAAGTTAGGTGCGCCCCCTGCTCCAGGGAGTTGAATCTTGATTAAGCCAAGTCAACTTTAGTAATACCATACCTGTTGCTAGTGACTGGTTAATGAGTAAGTGTATGACAACTATTGGGTCCCACTATATTGGGAACCTAAAATTGTCAGCAAAATAAAACAGGTTGACACTTTGAAAATCACAGAATACAAAGGTGGAAGGGGCCTAAGACCACAGTGACTTTTTTTAGCTGCTGAATTAACCAACCCTAAAACCACTGTGACTCAGAACTTCTTATGTGGGAAAAATGTTTTTAGTATTGTTTGAGGCAGTGATCTTCAAAGTGGAGAGTGCTAGACC